ACACCGAAGTCAGCAGAGTAACGATGGCGACTGCCGGCGTTTTGGTATGTAGCCGATGACTTTGACTTAGTCTGGCTCCGCGAGCGCGTCCGGTACGTCCAGCAATATAAGGCCTGTTCGATATACATTGTTTCCGGCAGCTGCCAATAAAGCCTACCGAACAGGCTGATCATAGTCCTGCTTCCTTCTCTCGGTAGTAATCGTGTTGTTGAGCGTTGACATACACAACATGGGTGATCTTGGTCCTGGTGGCATCGTTGGCATCGCGATAGCCGGGATGGTGTTACTGGTAGTCATAGCGATGATCCAAAGGTTCGTGTGTGGCTACCGCGGAGGTGGAGGCGGGCATGGAGGAGGAGGTGGTCAACATGGTGGTATGGATGGCGGTGGCGGCTGTTCATTCGAAGACGGTGGAGGCGGCGACGGGGGTGGCTGGTTCGGCGGTGGCGGCGGTGATGGTGGAGGTGGAGGTGGTGGTGGCGGCGGCGGCGGCGGCGGCGGCGGTGGTGGCGGTGCTTGCTAGAGAGATCCTATTGACTATGTGTATATATGTCTGCTAGATCATAGGTACACGGCTCTCATTTTAATATCATGGGACCCTTCCTGTCCGTGATTATTAATTTGCGTTCATTAGTTAATTGTTAATTGGTCGTCTGGTTTTATTAGATTTATGTAATACAAAAATTACGAGTTTGTACTCTAGTATGGTTGGTTCACAAGGTTCAATGCTTGATTCCTCTACTCGTTTTATCAAGTGTTGCCGTGGTGCCAATCTAGTATCTACTATATGTTGTGCTATATCGAAATACAGGAGACCCACACTTGTACATTTATCTACAATCTCAACAAATCACGCCACCACCTAGGGTTCACTTCTCTCTAGCTTCTTCGATGTAACAACAAAGACCATTTCGTCTCTTCTCTCCCTGGCGTTGTACGGCGGCACCTAATCTCTCCTTCTTGCATGTGAACTGACTAAGAATTGATCTAAAGCTACCACACACGAGCAAATAAACAGGCACTCATCACGAGCTCCTCCATTAGCAGTGTGAGTAATTGCATCACAAAATCGATCGTCCAGGACGTGTATCGATGATCGAGAGGTGTCTGGACGCGGGGACAGTGCGACAGGGCCAGGCGCGGGCTGTGCATGCTCGCACTGCACTGGAGTTTTGCTGCGCATGGCTGCAACTCGCAGCAGCGCTTGGCTGGCTCGCACTCGCAACTAGCAAATCGCGCTCGCGTTTCTCCATCCGCCAACCTGCGTGTGGCTGCAAGCGTGTGCAAACAACGCGTCCGGTTCCTCGTCCGGTTCCTGAGTTGATGGTTCATGTGACACTTTTGCTTTTTGTAGCGCAAGCCCAACCAGCGTGTATTCGTATGCAAATGCAGAGCTGCACAAGCTTTTGAAAGGATCAAATTATTGGATTTATGCCCAATAGTCAAAAGGCGATGTGGTCATGCAGCTGGCCCATTAGTATTTCTATAAATGCTAATGATCCGGTCAGAGGGTGATTAAACCTAATCCAGAGAGGCACCTGCGCACGCCGCCGCCTGTTGCTGCTTGCGTGAGGCCACTGCCGAGAGAGGGGCAGCGTTGTTTCAACGCGTTCCCTGTCGCAGTCCGCGTGCGTCATCCAGCGCTAGCATGCTGCGTCGCCGTCATTCTCCGCTCCGTACATGTGTGGACGTCAATAGAGTTACTGCTGCGTTGCGTACTACGTCGTATGGTACGACTACTTCCTCGACGTCGACTATATCGACTACGCACGTTCCGCGAAGTCTTTGCGCGTTAGGAATATATATATATATATATATATATATATATATATATATATATATATATATATAAATAGGAGACCCACACTAGTAGATTAATCTGCAATCTCATCCAGTCACGTCACCACCTAGGGTCCACTTCTCTCTACCTTCTTCGATGCAACAAAGACAATTTCGTCTCTTCTCTTCTTGGTGTTATACCTGCGGCACCAGGGACGAAGCCAGAAAAAAATTTAGGAGGGGCTGAACAAAAGAATAGAGGTTTTTTTATCTTCTCTTAACCTTAGTCTCTCCTATCTAATACATGTATGTATAAAATTTTAAAGGAGGACTTAGGAAAACTCCACGTGCTCAGAATGGATAGGGGGCTGCCCCACCGCTGGCTACGTCCCTGGCCGGCACCTATTCTCCTTCTAGCATGTGAACGGACTAAAAACTGATCCAAATGCTACCGCACACGAGCAAATAAACAGGCACTCATCACGAGCTCCTCCATTAGTAGTGTGAGTAATTGCATCACAAAATCGTCAAGGACCTGAACAGTCTATTGGTCAGATTTATAAGCTACATACAGTAAAAGTCTGCAACCGTCAGCGCTGGCTTCAGTGGGATCCAGGTGTGGTTTAGCGCTAGCTACACACAGAGCATGTTTGGTTGAGCTTTAGCTTGTGAAAAATTTTGAGCTGTGGAAGCTTAGGTCATGGGCTGTGAGAAAGTTCAGAGCCATTTGGTTGAACAGTCGTGGCTTCTTGGAAAAACTGCTACATGGGTGGACCCACAGTTGTGCCCGGGTATTCCCAGGCATACCCTACATTTTCGGAAAAAAATTAGTAGTTTGTAGAGGTATATACATGTATAGTATAGTTAAAGTCTTAAATTGCTATTCCTTGCTATTTTTTGGCCCTGATTCGTGTCATACGCAAAGAAGCCCACAGACCACACCTGACCGGATGGCCCACCTGGCCTTCCCACTCCCCAATCCCCATCTGCTAAAAAAAATCGGCAGTGCTAGCGCCCGGACGGATGCGCATCCGGACGCCCGCACCTACACTCCGTTTTGCATGCCCATGTGGGGCCCACGCCCATCCGAACGTCGCCTGCGCCTCCTGACCCCACACAGAGACCGCCCGTGCCTCTTCTACTTCCCCCGACCGGACACCTGCTACGGCAGGTGGGTCCACAATAAGCAACACCCGATCTACTTTTAAAACATCCAAATGAAACATTTACAACATATGTTTAAAGGCAGATGAAACACTTGAAACATTTGTCTGAAACACTTGAAAAACACCTAGAAAACACTTGAAAATTCATTGCAAAAGCATATGCAATACCAAGATAAAACACTTGTAACATATGTGTGAAACATATGCAATATCCAAATAAACACTGAAAGGATCAAGATGCCCAAGAGGGGGGGGGTTGAATTGGGCTTCTCTAAAAATTCTTGCAATAATTAAACCCTACACTTAGCCCAATCACCCCTAGTGCCTAAGAGTGTGTTCTATATGCTAATCGCACAAAGAGTTTTGCAACCTAGTTCCAATCCTACTCTAGCATGGCAATTCTATGAATATAAATACATGAAATGAATTGCTCAAAGTAAATGCGTAAAGTAAAGAGAAGGAATGGACTCGGCGACGTTTTGCTGAGGTATCGGAGAGTCAGCACTCCCCACTAGTCCTCGTTGGAGCACCCGCGCAAGGGTATCGCTCCCCCTTGATCCGCGCAAGGATCAAATGCTCTCTACGGGCTGATTCTTCGCCACTCCGGCACGGTGAATCGCCCACAACCGCTCACAACATGAGTTGGGTCATCCACAAGCTCCACCGGATGATCACCAAACTCCCAAACACCACCAAACCGTCTAGGTGATGCCGATCACCAAGAGTAACAAGCACAAACTCTCACTTGAGCTAACCAAGCCTAATGAGATCGGTGGATGCACACTTGCTACTCCCTAGACACTAATGAGGTTCCTAATCTTTGATTATCAAATCACAATCCCTCACTAGGCACTTGCTCTCACAAGAACTCCAATGGTTGCCTCAGCTGATCAAATGAGCAAGAGAGGTGTATTGGAGGAGTTGGGGGTGTATTTATAACCCCCACCAACCAACACACCCGTTGGAGTTCGGGCTGACTTTTTAGTATGCACCGGACGCGACTGTCCGGAGCACCGGAAGCGTCCAGTGCGTTTGCAACGGCTAGTTGACGTCAGCCAACGGCTAGTTGACTGGACCCTGACAGCGTCCGGTCCGAGAAAGGCCCTAAAAAACCTTCTCTGAGTTGGACCGAACGCGCTGCACAGCAGCGTCCGGTGCCAGGGGGTTACCAAACCCTAGGCCCTGCGGACGCACCGGACGCGATGGTGTCAGCGTCCGGTCCATACAAACATCTCTATGCTGCCCAACACCTGACCGGACACATCGGTCCCATCGGGGCAGCGTCCGGTGCACCCTAGCTGTCCCCGAACACTGACCGGACGCGTTCGATGCCAGGGGGCAGCGTCCGGTGCTGTTGCAACATTCCCAAACACTTCCAATTCACAACACTTTGTGAATGAAGTTGATTCCAAACGACCTTTGGGCTAACCCTGAGCTACCTAGTGCTAAGTTTGACAAGTGTGCACCACACCTAAACCATTAGACTCACCTAGGTCAAGCTACTAGTTCATACCCCCCTTTATAGTACGGCCAAAGGAAAAACAAAGCCCTAAACTAATCTAAGTGTCTCTCCAACACCAATCGATACTTAGAACTAGCCATCCTTAGCCTTGTTGTCCATCCTTTGAAAACCGAAACGATTTCCATCAATAGGGGCATGAAATCCATTGATTGCCCAAACAATCTCCATTATCGTGACCTAACTCAAATGGTTTATGCAAAACACATGTTAGTCACAATAATCTTATGTTGTCATTAATCACCAAAATCCATTAGGGGCCTAGATGCTTTCAAACACATTTGTAACATAAATCTGAAAAATACATGAAACATTTGGAATATACGTTTGCAACATACGTGTATAGCCGTTGCAACATATGCAACATCCTGATCTACTTTTACAACATCCACGTGAAACACTTGCAACATGCATAAAAAACCCCTGAAATACTTGAAACATATGCTTGCAACATGTGTGGCGCGACACTCTAGTGGACGGCGGCCACCATGTCCAGCAAGCCTTGAGGCAGTCAGGCCACGACGCCCTTGCCGTCTCTAGCCGCAGGAGGAGGTGATGAGGAGAACGCCGGCGCCGGCGCCGGTGATGAGGCGGCGGATGTGCGGGAGAGGGACCTTGTACTGGTACCCGAAGCGGAAGCCATTCGAGGATATGAGCAACACCACGGGCTTGGGGGATTGGAGATTGGAGAGCAGCCGCGTGGCAGTGGACGCTGCAGTCACGACGGTGAGGGTCGAGCGGAGCAGGACGAAGGTCATGGCGGCGGCGAGGGCCATGGTTAGGAGCAGCAGACGAGGATGAATGATTGCTGGGGTGTGGCCACGAAGGAGTAGAGGAGAGCGGGGCCATGGTGAGGAGGAGCAGGTGGGGGGGGCGAATGAGGGAGAGCTGTGGTGGGACGTGGCAAGTCGCTAGGTGTCCGGACCACGATTGAGTGCTTGCGGCAGGTAGCTTGCGGTGTGGGGGCTTTTTTTTGGAGGCAGCGTGGGAGTATCAGATATTTGTGAATACGTGGACAACATGAAACCACGTAGCGTCCGGCGTCCGGACGCCCTAATCATATCATTACCGAAAAAAATTCCCCTACGCGGAATCGCACTGCGCCACAGCCAGTCCGCCCTCGCCCCGCCCTTGCGGCCATCGCGGCACTGCAGCCCGCCGCCCCGCCTAGGGCCGGAACGTCGCCGGCTACTATCCTCCAACCCGCCGCCCGATCGCTATTCATCCAGGGGCTCGGCGCCGCGCGACCCCGCACGCAAGCGATGCAGTGCACTCAGCCGCCTCCTGCTAGGGGCTCGGGCTCGACAACGGCATGACCCACGCGATGCTCGGGCACCGACTGCTCAAGTGCTCTGCTGTGACCTTGATTTGATTCCTTAGCCATGGGCATGCCCTACTCTAAAATCCTGGGTCTGCCACTGCTACCACACGCGAGCAAATAAACAGGCACTCATCACGAGCTCCTCCATTAGTAGTGTGAGTAGCAAAATCTTCAAGGACCTGAACAGTCTATTGGTCAAATATGATTTATAAGCTACACACAGTAAAAGTTTGCAACTGTCAGTGCTGGCTTCAGTGGGATCCAGGTGTGGTTGATTTAGGGCATGTTTGGTTGAGCTTTAGCTTGGCAAAAGTTGTTGTGAGTTGTGGAAGCTTGGGTTGTGAGAATGCTCGGAGCCATTTAGTTGAACAGTAGTGGCTTCATAGAAAAGGTGCTGTCAGTGTGTCCCACGTATCATCCGACCCGATCTATCAACCACAGCTTGCAGAGGAGACCATGGATGCCGTAAGGGCTAAAACCGCGCTAGTCGCTGCTTGGGCAGAAGCCACGCTCGCCCACCACCGGAGTTGGTGATGGAGGTGGCACGACTGGAGGAGCTCGTCGGGGCCGCGCCATACGGGCCGCGTCCGTCGGAGCCGGTGCAGTCGAGGCCGAGCCCCAGGGTCTTCGCCATTGGGGCCGGTGTCACTCGCGCTATGGGCCTTAGCAGAGGGATGGGGACGACCAGCAGCCCGCGGCGGCGTGGCAGGAGCAGCAGTTGTGGGAATAGGCTAGAAGCGATGGTCGTTCTCGAGAGACAGCAGCTGCAGTAGCTAAGGGCAGGCCATGGAAGGAAGAATGGCAGTGGCCTTCATCCCGTGGTTCGCATAGATTCTCGAGAGCGCGCCACGACGACTCATGGAGTCGCCGTCGGTGAACTGGGCATGATGGGCCAAGCACATGGATGTGTTAGCTAATAATGCAAATAAAGATCGAACATGAGACGCAGATTTTTATGTGGAAAACCCTTGTGGGAACAAACAACACGGGCGCCAACCGACGATCTTCGCTATACAAGGAGAGTTTACAGAACACATGGAATACAGTGAGTCGTCCGCTCTTCCCGTTCGGCTTACAAGATGTATTTATAGGACGGACTGACTATAGTCAAATACGAAAACAAATCCGCTAAATATATAACCTAAACCGCGGGTCCTCCAGGCGTCCCCGCAAGACTCACGTTAGAATTAGGATCATAGTCCAACAAACTTCACCTTGAGACGAATTCCATCTTATAGCAAATGAAGTATCATCAAACAACTCACTTCAATAATAAATAATCACTGACGCCAGAAGTCCCTAGGACTTAAACGGTAATACAAACTAAGCTTGAGCATAGCTTAAACTTAGCTCTAGGAACTAGATCTGTCAACAGATCAGCGGGATTATCACGAGTATTTATCTTACATACATTGATGTCACATTTAGCAATAACACCTCAAATAAAATAATATCTCACATCAATGTGTTTTGTTCTTTCATGAAACATTTGATCTTTAGTCAGACAAATAACACTCTGGCTATCACAATGTATAGTAATACAAGAAATAACCGCGCCAAGTTCAGAGTATAAAACTCTCAACCAAATAGCTTCTTTACAAGCTTTAGAAATAGCCATATATTGAGCCTCTGTAGTAGATAGAGCAACAGTAGCCTAAAATACTTGCTTTCTAGCTAACAGCACAACCACCAATGGTGAAAACGTAACCCATGAGAGGCCTCGTATTATCCAAATCACTAGCATAATTAGAATTAACATAGTCAACAAATATGCATTAGAAGTACCCATGAGAGGTCTTGTATTATCCTAAATTGCAAACATGCATTATAAGTACCTCACAAATATCTAAAAATCCACTGAACAACCCTCCAATGCTCCTTATTAGGATTAGCCATGAATCTACTTACAACACTGAATGCATGAGATAAATCACGATGAAAACAAATCATGGCATACACAAGAGAACCAACTGCACTGGAATATGGAACTTTAGACATGTACTAAATATCATGATCTGACTATGGACATAAACCTAAGGATAATCTAAAATGTGCAGTTAATGGAGTACTCACTGGTTTTGCATTATGCATATTGAAACGATGAAGAACCTTTTCAATATAACCTCGCTGACTGAGGTTTAACTTGCCGGATTTTCTATCTCTAACAATTTTCATCCCAAGAATTTTCTTAGATGCACCTAAATCCTTCATCTCAAATTCTTTACTCAATTGTGCCTTCAATTTAGCTATTTCTGATTTTTCTTTAGCAGCAATCAACATATCATCAACATAAAGAAACAAATAAATAGCTGAGATATTAACAATCTTCATGTAAACACAACTATCGTAATCAGACCGTTTTAAAAGCATGAGACAGCATAAACAAGTCAAATCTCATGCACCATTGCCTAGGAGATTGCTTCAAACCATAAAGAGAATTCTTTAGTCCACAGACAAGGTTTTCTTTTCCAGGAATAACAAAACCTTCAGGTTGGTTCATATAAATGTTTTCTTCCAACTCCCCATATAAGAATGTAGTTTTAACATCTAGTTGCTCAAGTTCATAATCATGCATGACAATAATATTAAGCAAAGTGCGAATAGAACTATGCTTAACAACTGGGGAAAAGACATCATTAAAATCAATACCTGAAATCTGGCTATAACCTTTAGCAATGAACCTTGCTGGCTCACTTGGAGAAATACACTCCTTTCTTTTGAAAATCCATTTGCAACGGACAAACTTTTTATCCTTAGGCAATTTTACTAAATCCCAGACACCATTCTTTTCAAGTGACTCCATCTCATCTTGCGTAGAGGTCATCCAATTATTGTAATCAGCAGAAGTAATAGCCTCAGAATAATTAGAAGGTTTTGACTTACCTTCAATCTCTTCTCCAACACTCATAGCATAAGAAACATTGTATTCTTCAATCAACCTTTTAACTGGTTTGGGCTATCTTTTGGCCCAATCAACACTAATAGAATGTTGTGGAGGCTACACAACTAGAGAAGAATGCTCAACCATAAAAGAATCATCAACAATTGGAGAAATTTCAGCAATGGGTGCATCTTGGACAACATCATTATTAACATCTGGTGCATCAATTAAGTGCTCCACCTGCACTCTTATTTTCTCTCCCTCAATAGGAGCATTAGTAGATAGGTTGTCATAAAACATAGCAGATTCATTGATGATAACATTCCTACTAAGCACAGCCTTCCGAGCTTGGTAATTCCACAATTTATAACCTTTAACGCCAAGTTGATAACCAAGAAATATGCATTTAACAGCTCAAGGCTCCAATTTATCATTATCAACATGAGCATAGGCAGTACAACCAAAAACTCTCAATTGTGAATATCAGCTGGAGAACCAGACCATACCTTAATTGGAGTTTTCTTACCAAGAGTAATGCCGGGTGAACGATTAATAAAATAGCAAGCATTGGAAGGAGCTTCGGCCCAAAAACGCCTATCCAAACCCGAATTAGACAACATGCAACGGGCCTTAAAGATGATAGTTCTATTCCAATGCTCAGCTACACTATTTTGTTGAGGCGTATAAGGAATAGTGTAGTGCCTACAAATGCCCTGAGACTTGTAATATGCTTTAAACTCATTAGAACATAATTCCATCCCATTATCAGTGCGAAGCTTTTTAACCTTCTTTTCAGTTTGATTTTCAATCATAACCTTCCACTGTTTAAATGTTGAAAATGCTTTTGATTTATCCTTCAAGAAATAAGGCCATACCTTATGAGAATAATCATCAATGATTGTGAACATATAACGAGAACCACCAATAGAAGGCTTGCGAGATAGTCCCCATAAATCAGAATGCACATAATCAAGAATACCTTTACTTTTATGGGTAGAGGTATTAAATGACACCCTCTTGTGTTTTCCAAACACACAATGCTCACAAAACTTTAGCTTACTGATGTTATGTTCATCAAGAAGACCTCTCTTGCACAATTCATGCAATGCTTGTTCACTCATGTCCAAGGGCTCTATATATATGCCTTAGCCAGCTCTTGCTCACTCTCTTGGATATTTTCATTGGTGATACATCCTTGTGAGCTAAGCCAAACATCTCCCACTCATCTAGTTCATGTGTTGATCATCATTTGTGAGATTGAGAGTGATCCTAGTTGCATTTTCTTAGAGTTTGAGCATCTAGTGGCACTAGTGATCTTGTTGCTGTAGATTTCTTGTTACTCTTGGTGGTTGCTGCCACCTAGATAGCTTGGAGCAGCGGGATCATTGAGCGGAGGGTGGTGATTGTCTCCAGCTCCAATCGTGGTGACTGTGAGGGGTTCTTGTGCCTTCACCACTGGAGACTCGCTAAAGACAACTCTAGTGGATTGCTCGTGACTTGTGTACCCTTATGTTGTTGTGGTTCTTACGGTGCTCTTGTGTAGGGCCAAGCGTGTGATGCCTATTATCGCGTGA